CATAGTCATAAGTCAAAATGAGATTCTGGAGCCTGGAACCAATCCCTATACGATCCGCAATTTAATTGTAGTCTTGAAACATACTGATTATGATCCCGTCGTCAGTGTCCTATATCTCCTCCATTGATTACCCTCTCCTCATATTTGTCCTGACACCTATCCCTGACAGTCCAAAGACCAGGTGCAGTTCAAAACCGAGTACAAGATCAGTGGCAAAAAGAATTTAGCTAACACCTTCGGCTTATTTCAACTTGGGCGCGAGGTTCTTATCTCTGGGCATATTTCTGGTTACAATCAAGAGCAATTCATGTGGACTGTCAACGTGAATCTCCTCTTTCCTATCAATTCACTACCTCATACCCAAAACTGATGTTAAATTGTACTATTCTTAGGCCCTGTCAGTCTCAGTTGCATCTGGACATCAGACCGGTCTCACCTTGGCCAATGAGCAAAGCTCATCTGTACCGACTCAACGTCGGCGTCCAGGCCTGTAAGAATTCACCACTGATTGAGTTATTTTGGTACCTAACAATTCCCTTTTCCGCAGGATTTCCCTTGAAAACATTACTGGGGCCAGCCCAATGCCAGGATCCAGCAAAGGCACTAACAATGGTCCTGTTGCTATGACTGAAGAGCACTAACAATGGTCCTGTTGCTATGACTGAAGAAAGCTCAACAGATGTCAACACAGTTGTTCGTGATCCTGCAACACAAACCAGTGTCGAGTACTATGAGTCTTTGGTCGGGACCCCTGGTAAGAAGAGAACCAAGAAAACTATTCTTGCTGCTGCAAAGAAGGAAAAAGCCACACTTCCATCCCCTGCATTAGCCTAAATCTTCTCAGCGGTTCACACCATAGTTTCGCAAACCTGCCCTACAGCCATTGTACTCAACATATCCTGCTTCTGAAACTGCTCTCAATGCTTTTTCACACATAGATTGCATATTTCATAACCATGTAATAGTATCTCACTCTGGACTTGTGCCATTTCATCTCAGTTTGTTTCGATTTATATTTCTGCGTCAAGGACCATACCATACTCCAAGCTCTTTTCAATTTCTCAGTACCCTATGCTTTGTGGCCAATTATTCAGAACCTACTCCATTGTGTGCAATCCAGAAAAAATGAACTGTAATAATTCCAGAAGCTGGACACCTTTAGTTATGTCTTTGGTAGGTTTATCTTGATGAGCTCCTTTTCTGTGGCATTAAGCCTAAACACGGACATAAAACATTAGATCAGGAACTCAGGCCTGATCAATGCCCAATATTATTACTACTTAGCCGTTTGCTTCTTTCTAAAAAAAGACACAGTATAAAGCGCAAGCCCAGTTCCCCCTTTGGCCATTGTGTAATCCTTAAGCCATCTGCGTAGAAAATAGCACAGGATTTCCCATTTCCTTTGTTACTTTTGTGCTGTATGAAAGATGTTAAATTCAGTGCTACTGAGTCATTTCTGATACAGTTTACTGTTACACCGAACCATTGCTTTGAATTCGGAGATTTGAATAAGTCAGGAAATGTTCCTTGGGCCCAGGGACTATTTATTTCCAAATGTGTTCATGCTCAAACCGGAACATCAGCATTTCTTTTGTTCTTTGACAGCAATGTTCCCTTGAAGTGAAAGCAGTTATCGATGAATTTAGTAAAAATTTTTGTTCATTGTTAGATACACCGGCAAACGGATACATTGACCAATTATTATCAAGACTTGAGCCTGGCATGGTGTCTCGGCAATTTCTTGAGTTTCTACACAGGAACCGGATAAGCGACCTGATTCTGAATTAAATATCCAAATGCCTTTACTGGGTTTTTGTAAGTGCAATACTCTGCATTTAGAAAGTGAGCAATTAGCAGTTTCTTAGGTTGTGATTCATCCATTGGACCATATTAAGTGCCTTGTACCTTGTTCACAGCAAATTCAGAACCTCAACTATTATCTTGTCCAATCCGAGAAACTGAAACCTCACCTATTCAGTGTACAAACCACATTAAATTATTTGTCTATTCACAGGACACTGTAACATTTATCTCAGCCTAACTTCCCCGAAACCTCAATGTGTTCAACAACCTTCAGAGTATCTTTGTCATCCACATTCCAATAGTATGCCCGTCGAGAAATGGAGTGGTGGTCGTGTTGTTTCATGTCCTGCGCAGAACAACGAGTCAAACCTCATGGCTAATTTTGGCTTTGCTTTACCTCAGACTCTTGGCTCCTATTCCGACATTTGTGCAAGTTGTCAAGCTATACACTGGAAATTTGAGCGCACAGGCGCTAAGTCCAGCACTGGCCGTGCAACCTTCACAAGTTGTTGTCAGAAGGGAGGAGCAATGGTCCC